TGGGTTCCGATGAACCCAGCTTTGCTGTTTTGATGTTGAATTTATGTTTTTTCATTTTTCTTTGGATTTTCATTTCTAGTTGTTAATAAATTTGAGAGTTGATTTACAATTTAATTGTATTTTTGTTGGAGTTTGATTGATATTGTTTATTTTGTTTATTGAATGGTTAATTTGATTTGATAAGATTTACTAAGTTTGAGGCTTGAATGAAACCCAGAAACTGGGTTCAATTTCTCAAGGAAGAGGAGTGGAGATGAGAGAGTATTTAGAGAGGAAGAAGAAATGGGTTAAGATTGATTCTCTGGAGTGGAGGTTAATTTTGCAAAGAGGGAAGATGAGCAAGGAAGATGAGGTTAATTTTGCAGAGAGGGAAGATGAAAAGGAAGATGACATGTCGCCAAAAAAAGTCCAAATCAGTGCCTTTTAAGTTGTTTTTGCCATGTCATCCAAAAAAAATATAAAAAATGCCATGTGGCCAAGTTAACGGCGAAAATTGACAGAAGGACTAACGGAGTGCATTTCATATAGTTAAGGGATCAAAAAAGTGCAAAAAATTGTTAAGGGACCAAAAATGTGCAAACCACTATAGTTGAGGGACCAAATCTAGCATTTAACCATTATGTTATTACCCTCACTCTCTCGATCCATCTTCTTCCCTTTCTTTTTTTCTCTTTCTTTCTTTTCTACCTTTGGGTTGGTGGAATAGAACCCAGAAACTAGGTTTGGACCACCGAACCCAAATCGGCTGGGTTTGTCAAGACCCAGATTTGCAGCTTTCCATTCTTCTTTAAAGCTAGGTTTGTCAAGTTCACCTTGTTTTTTCATTCTTCTTTCGATTTCCATTCTCAATTCTTGATAAATTTGGGAGTTGATTTACAATTTGATTGCATTTTTGTTGGAATTTGATTAGAGTTTGATTGACCTTCGTTTATTGAGGAGTTAATTTGATTTGATGAGATCTGCGCTGGGTTCATCAAACCCAACAAGTGGCTTCAACAAAACTCAACAACTGGGTTCGACGACATAGAACCCAAATTCTGTTGGGTTCAATCTCAATTGGAACAAAATGAGGAAGAAGATAGATTAAGGAAAAAGGTTCTAGTGAGAAAAGAGAAGAAGAAGATATGGGTTAAGATCGATGTTGTAGATGGAGTGGATATGAAAGAGCATTCTAGGGTTTACAGACATTTGATCCCTTAACAGTGTAATGTGGAAACCATTTGAGAGGCATTTTGGAGTATTTGATTCGCAAGAATATGATATGGCATCCGTTGCAGCATTCTTTTTAAGTTGTATCATCCATGTCATCAGAAAAAATATAAAAAATACCATATGGACAAAGTTAATAGCTTAAATTGACGAAAAGATTAAAATTACGCAGTTCTTAGAGTTGAGGGATAAAAAAGTGCAAAAAATAATTGAAAGATCAAAAAAATGCAACATTATAAAGTTGAGGGACCAAAATTAACATTTAAATTTTTTTTACGAAATCTTTTTCTAAAATAAAATATTAATATTTATCAATTAAATTTATAAAAAAAATTAAAAAAAAATTTAAAATTATATTATTTTAATGAAACATTAAAAAAATATAAATCAATATCATTTTCTTAAAAGATAAATTATTTTAATCTTTTTAAATAAATTTATTAAATGAATATAATTTTAAAATTTTTTCTTTTAATTTTTTAATATGTCTAAAAAACTTTCTTTTCAATATATTAATTGTTTACTTGCCTTTACAGTTTACATAATAATCCTGACATCTCTGATCTTATCAACAAACAATTTCCAAAAAAACATGCTTCCAGGGAACCAACGCTTAAGAAAGAAGCAGATTGGTTCAATAGTGGCCCTTGAAATGCAGCCAGCAGCGCTGGTCCTTAGCGTCATTACCGGTCTCGTACTTAAGGACGATGGGCCTTCTGGGTTTGCTTTCATTTTTGGTCCATCTTTGTCAAATGTAAATTCAGAGGTAAGTTCA